CAGGCAGAGTAGTGTAATACCAAGCTCAGAGAACCCATCTATCATGAGCTCAGCTGAGACACACAGTGTATAGACAGGCCGCCTGACAGGTATACGTCATCTCACTTCTCTGCACAGGCAAAAGTTTGCTGAAGGACTGAGCTAGACTAGGAAAAAAAGTAGGGCAGCCTGGGACTAAACCACACGTCCCTCCCCTCTACCCCCACTGTAGTTTTAGTCAATTTCACTTTGAAGAACCTTCATCCAAGGATACTACAGCATTCATTCATTGGGCAAAAATATACCTGATACTCTGTTAGGAGATGACAGAGGTACGTATGAGCAAAACAGATCCAGTTCTGCCCTCAGTCTAGTCCAGTATCATATAAAAAAGACAGCGCTGTGCAATTCATCACACATGCACTGGAAGGACGTTCATGAAACTACCGTGAGAGCTTTTCAAGAAAACTCCAGGAGAAATTTCTTTCTGATCCTTGAGTCAAGAGCAGTAGCTGGAGTAACTGATCTATTTTTAATCCCACGGACACTATACTTCAAAACTAATTGAACCTACTTTCTTTACTTTTAAAAAAATTCAGGGCCCACCTGTGGCCCTTTCACCCATCAGACATAAGAAGCATTTCAGCAACTGTCTCTTTGCTAGTCCAGCTGATAATCTTTTCCTTTCCTCTTTTCTTTCTCAGCTAGCTCTTATTTGAGTATTATATTTTGTTTCCTTAATCTTTGGGAAGAAAAGTACAGTAGAAAAAAGTAAAGATAAGTAAATAAAAATATACATACATATGAAAATTTTAGGAAAACTGAGCAATATGTGCTTACTCCAAAACTCCAAAAACTGACTCTTTAGAAATCTCTTAAAACTTGACTAAGATCTGTTTTTATTATTTTCTCACCTTAAAGTTTAAGTTCTTGAGGAAAAAAAACTGATGGAAAATTTTTCATTTTTTGGCATCCAGCAGTGTTCCCTTTTTAATTAGGTAAGGACTGAATGCAGAAATCAACCATTTATAAAAGAGAATTTCCCCATGTGCCAACTGTCACATATAGAACTTGCTCTGATGATTAGATGATATAAAAAAATGAAATGACTTTAAGTGTAATAGAACACATTTTCTATTGTTACCAGGTCTAGATTTATGATCTCAGCTCATTATATTTCTTAAAGTAGTTATATAATGAAGTTCTAATCACTCTTTTATATAACACAGGGCCAACTGTAACCCAAATCCTAGCTCTCATTTGGAAGAGGAGATCTATAGAGGAAAAGGGGCTTAATTTAAAGGTCAAAGACATTACTGATGATGCTAAAAATAATGTGCCATTTTATATATAGGTTAAAGTAACATCTTTTAAAATTTGATTTTTACAACCAAATTAAGAACAATTCAATTATCTTGTTACTTTTACTGTTAGAGAGAATGTTATAAAGAATGCATAACATTAACAAAAGGTAGAAGAACAGAGGAGAGAGCGCTTCTGAAAGAGAATATGGACATATCCACAAAAGCAGATATAGGACATAGACGCGTCTCATCTTTGGGTACTCACTGACACACAAAATTATAATGTCAAAAGATGACAGTACTGCATGTGGTTATTTTTCAATCACCAACATCATTATCAATCTATAAGATGCCTTTCTACTTTATCAGATGAACACATAAGATCAGTATATAACTAGATAATATTTTCCATTTAACTTTTCCAATGGCCTTAGACTGTTAAGTAACTAAATCTACAGCTGTGACCTTTTAGCTCTTTACTTACAAAATATTCAAATTAAATGAACTACATTAATAAATCTGTATGCATATATATGTCAGAAATACTTCTTTTTAATACCAGACAAAAGACACATCATTGTTCCTTCCCCCTAAGCCGTCACAATTGGTGCTACCATCAGATTCTTATCTGCTAACAAAAAGGGCCCAAGGGAGCAACACTGAAAGTTTTAATGGAACAATGCCAAAAGGAACATATTATACATTAAACAGATGTTCTAGTTTTGAAAGCAATTTAAATAAAGATGAGCAAAGTCTCCAAATAAATCCCAAACAAATACTATTTCCTTACAGCCTACATACACCAAATTATAAACTAAACAAGGTCTAAATATTAAGTAAATACCAGTAACAATAATTATTGTTGTCATTCTTATCGTTGTCATTCTTATTTATAGAAGGCTTACTATGTGACAGGAACTGTGCTAATAAGTATTTTACCTTATCTCATTTATTCCTCAAATCTTTAAGTAATTCATGAATAAAAACTAATGATCACCGCCCCCCAATTAAGTGATCCTTACACTTAATTCTGAGCAGAGAATATAGTCCTAGCTATAAACCCAGTGTTTGCAGCCCTTATCCTAGGTGCAAATTTTAAATGTACAGAGTTATTTTTTTTTCATCATTGAATCCCCAGCATCTATATGGTACATGACATGGAACAGATGCTCAATAAATGTTTGTTAATGTTTATTAATTGAATAATTGAATGGACACAATTTACTCATTGGTTTTTATAAAGAGTAGGAAGGATCTTCATGGAATATGGCAAATGTATTAAGTTTGATGAAGCCATTGCAGGAAGCTTTTTAAAAATTCCATAGTATTAAATATTGATCTCTTTTATAAATAAAAGTCTTTTATTTTTCTCTGAAACCAAATATAGGTGAACTATATCCTAAGACAGTGACAACATCTACAATACTTTCTCTGGGCATAATAGGAACATATGATTTAGTTGATTTAAATATGGATAGTTGAACTACAAAAACATTCAGCAGTATTTTAAGTTTCAAAAAGGGACTGATTATATTCAACTACAATTTAATAAAAATTTAAGAGTCTAGGGATTGGATGCAATAGCTCTTAAAACTTGTAATTTCCATAAAATCATTTAAAAGTACCGCCTAGTAACAGTTCTTCCCAAGATAAAAATATTCCAGTAGCTTGACTTTTTATGCTAGGATAACTTCTGGAAATACACACCAGATATAAAGGTAAATTCTCAGTTTCTGACCTTCATCTTCCAGGAGGTCAAGAGAAAGAACTCAACTGTTCAGCTCTATTAAATCACAGACTGGCTTTTGGGTTACTGGATAATGGCATAGAGTTACACCTGTTTTTATCAAAACTACCACAAAAAAAGTACCAGTCCTCTAGTATATTTCTACACATCTCCATCAGCCAGTAATTCTGAACCTGTAGAAAACTATTAAAATGATCATTTTTATTTTCCTTCTTTTAATCCTTTCTAATGACAGCATTCATTTATGTTGGTGTTTATATGCCTCAATGTTTTTTATTATAATAAAATCTCACAGGTCTTGTGCAAGTCTCTTCATATGATTGTATTTATACTAATAAAGTCTCCATTATAAAGTGGAACTTCCCAGTTACCTACTCTTTCATGAAGTGAAATTAATGTTCCAGAATGGCTCTCTGGAACATTTTCATCAGTATCTTAATCTGTCAAATTTCACTTAGCTATCTAAAACAAAAAGGACTTTACCTTTATAGACAACAAAGACTTTTTCCTCAAATACTATAAATATGGCAGCCATTTTAAACTAACTGTACAATTAACTAACTGTACAATGTCAAGTAACCGTGACACCTGCTAACAGAAATTTATAGTTCAAATGTCCAATTTTCATGCATCATTTTTTATTATTTAAAAAAATTTTCCAAGCTTTACTGAGGTATGGTTGGCAAATAAAAACTGAAGTCATACATCTTTTACGTTCTTTGTTGGAGTCAAGAATAGAATGAGTTAATCAAGAACAGAAACTATGGCTCAGCTTTGAAACAATCCAAATAAAAAGCTTCTTTTCAATATAAAATATTGTAAGCTTCAAAATGATTATATATACCTAACAATAAGCCTTAAAAATAAGGTCTGATATGAATGTAATACCAACACTTCTATCATCTTTTTCAGTAAGAAATTTCAGAAAATCCTTCAAACTCTATAAGCAAACAACATTCTTTATCATATTTGCAGAAATTTAGGAAGAATTAAATTTATTTATTGTATTGGCGGAATTCAGGAAGCTTGCAAGCTACCATTCTTCACCCCTATGATATGTGAGATGTAACTCACCACAACATTAAATGCATTCACTGATTTTTCTAATCATTTAAAAAAGAGCTCTTCTAACCCTAGGACAATTAACAGCCTATATAATTTTAAAAGGATATTTCATATAGTTTGCAATTTTTTTAATGTAATTGGTCCATGAATATGTATTAAAACAGTTTAAATTATTTAAAGAATACACACAGAATCTCTAATTAATTCATCGCATACCTTCTGGAATCAGGTAGGCACATTAATTATAAACAAATAAATTTAAGATAATCAAGAAGTGACAGGAAGTTTGTTATCAAATTTTGAACTTCTGAAAGTAAATTATTACATAATTAGAATTCCTCACATAATTATATTACAACTTTGGTTTTCATACAGGTTTGGGCAATTTGCTGGGTATTGGATAAGATCTTGTTTATAAATTGCCAGTTAATCATATCACATTTACTTTTAGCTCTTCAAGCTCCTGATTGTCCTAAAATGGAAAGTAATCTTAATTGGAGGAAATCTCTTGCTGGCAAAAGGTTTTAACCACAAGGGGGTCAGTCAGAACTTAAGACCTGATGATAGTAATACAAGTGTGTGAAACAACGGGAAAGAAGTCTCAACAATCAAGATGATACTGTTTACTCAAGGCAGCAAATTATTTTTTCTTTGGTTAGATTATATCTATAAATATTTTTCTTCTAACTTTAAACATGGAAGTTACTAGGTCTTTGAAACTAGAGACCATTCATAAGCCATTGACAACACAAATAACAAGCAATCTTTCCCCTTCAATCACACACACACACATACACACACACAGAGAGTATATGAAAATCTGGCCTCTGAGATTTCATCCCCCTATGAATCCATTCCTTAAATCACAGAGTTAATACAGTAAGAAGAAAAAGACAAAAATCTACCAACTAGGCTGAGCTGCCATCCTCTCCATGTAGTCTTTGGCCATATCTCGGGCTTCCATGTTCTCAGGATACAGCACGCAGAACATGGCTAAGGCCCCCAGGTTGTTGCCGTAAATCTCATTCCAGCGGGCGCTGTATTCCTTGGGGTCCCAAGGAGGGAGGTACTCCAAGGGGCTGGACAGCATGGTGTTCACGGCCTCAGTGAGCCGGGCAGCAATGTGCTCGTGGGAGCTGGCGGCCCTCAGCTGGAGCTCGGCCACCTCGGCCCTGGAGAAGTAGAGCATTGGGTGGCTGTCGTAGTTGGCATTGGTGAAGGGGATCATGACTTCTGGATTCTCGTCGGTGACGCAGGCTGACACAAAGCAAAACAAACATATGAAAAACACACTGGGAGCCCCCCGTGTGTGAGTCCTCATCGTGGCATCAGATCTCCCAATCTCCAGGGCAGCCAAACCATCTTCGAAAGATCCTACAGGAGAATAAAAAGGAGAGGAGGTTATGTCAGCCAGGGGACCATGGTGAAGCAGGAAATATATGGTAGGCAGCCACCTTGCATACTATGAAAATTAAGCTTAAGAATTTTCAGATATTTCAAAAATGCAACAGAAATTTGAACTCGGAAGAAACTAAAACCTAATAATTTAATTAATTACACATGATACAACAGATACAACAGATATATTCATTGGGGAAAAAAGAACTTCGGACTTGGGAAAATGGTGTAATATGTGCTCGAGTAGAGAAGAAAAACTCTCGCTGGCATTCTTCTCACATTTTATCGCACAAAAGAGTTTCAATTTTATGGTATTTTGGGACATCACTATGAAGGCTACAATAACCAAAAGCTGGTGGTGAAATGTATGGGAATCTGAATGGACATTAGGAAAAAAAATAAGAAAATCCTGTCTCAATACAGCCTCTGGCACTCTAAGTTCTCCCCTCCTTCTAACATTCTCCCTTCTGAAAGAGGGATTAGGATCAATACATCTATATGAATGTGAGCAGACAAAATATTATGAGTAAGGCTGAATATCCTCTTTGTGTCAGCAGAAGGTGGGGATGAGGACTAACAGAAGTAGGGTAAACATCTGCTAAGCCCGTGCGTTCCCTGGGATGACATCAGCAGGCATTCAAGGCAAGATCAGACATGGGGCTGCTGGGACTGGAGACTGACATGCCTTCATTCAGAAAGTAAAATTCCAAACTTAAAAGGCTGAAAGAACACGTGTGCATTTTCCCATTATTATTTGAAACTACTGTCTACTTTTTTCATTTCGCACTCGGGATTTTGGTGTCATTCAGTTAAGTCAGACCTTTAAACCAAGCTCACATATTTTCTTAACTGCTTAACTTTCTTGAAAATCCTTTTCTTCAGTGGCAGCTTTGCTCACTGGTTAAAGAATGTCTTTCAAAGTAGGAACATTAAAAAAAGAAACCCCTCAGCCTGGTCTATGTCCCACATCTGGGATAAAGCAGGCATAAAATCCCCCAGAGGCAAGTCAGGGAATTCTTAAAATTCTTCAGAGGGGAAAGGTTATGGAAAGCAGACCAGAAAAAGACAGTTTTATGTAAATAATGAACAGTAGTTTTCAATTATTAAAGGGAGAAACTGATGGGGGGAAATATCAATCTCCCCAGCTGAACGCAAACCATTTTTCCAAGGAAAATCTGCCTCATCACATTCAGAAGCAAGAAAACCAAGGGTTTAACACACATTGGAGAACAATCCATACTCTTAACTTGGTCTGTGTCCAAGTGATGCAACACAGCATCACTTGTGGATGCTACCATAAATTCTAGCATTCTTTATATTTCTGATGTGCTTTAGCCTATATATAAAAAAGTCAGTGGCAGTGTGTATGTTAAGTATTTTAGACTTACTTAAGAACAGGACTTTTAATGAATAAAAAATGAATATAGCCAAGCTACATAAAATATATAAAATAGAAATAACTCTTGGACTCTACCCGTATTATGTCTAGCACCCAAATCTTCAAGGCGGCTGGCTGGATCCTTCAAGGTCAGAGAGCTGGCCAAAAGAAACAGTCTTCGGTGATTAGTCTGAGGAGGGGTGTGGTCTCTGGTAACACAAGAGACGTGGCTTGGTCTGAAAGCTCACTCCCTACCACCCTCACCTTGGCGTTTATTTTCCGCTCTTTAAGAGAACAAGTGTGCTAAAAAAAACAAAAAAGCCTGCATATATTAAATCCCCAGAGGTCTAAAACTGGATGGGGCCATCAATGCAATGAGCACTGTGAGGGTTTTAGGCACCCAGGGTGAGGATGGCTTGGAGGTTTCTCCTTTATCTGATCTCTACATACATAGAACTGAGAATCTTCTCTCAACTACTGGTTTTTAAATGTGCAGCTCAGGTTCTCAGTGGGTAAGCAGGTGGCGTGGGGTACGGAGGGATGGGTTGGAAGCTATATGAAGACTAGAATCTGTATCTCAGATTTTGTACATGCAGGCATGCTAAGTTGCTTCAGTCATGTCTGACTCTTTGCATCCCCGTGGACTGTAGCCCACCAGGCTCCTCTGTCCATGGGAATCTTCAGGTAAGAATACTGGAGTGGGTTGCTGTGCCCCCTCCAGGGGATCTTCCCGATCCAGGGATTGAACCTGGGTCTCTCATGTCTCCTGCATTTGCAGGAGGGTTCTTCTACACACACATTCCCTAAAGGGGGCTAAGGCTGATGTGTTTTATTCTCTTTCTCTTTTTCTAAAAAAAAAAAAAAAAAAACAAAAGGTTTTATTTTTAAATTTTTGGCTGCATCCTGCAAGCATGTGGGATCTCAGTTCCCCAACCAGGGATCAAAACCACACCCCCTGCATTGGAAGGCAGAGTCTTAATCACTGAGAAGTCCCTGATTTGTTATATTCTCTTTCTCCTGCCTTATGTACAGTACCCTCCTACCCAGGTGTGGAGTCGCTGAGGTTAGAGAAGCTGCTCCAATGAGACCCTCCCAATGCAGGACCGAACCATGCTGTGATTGCAGCCACTTCTGCCACATGGCTTCCAGTTACACAGGACATGCCCGAGTATATTTAAACTAGAAGCGTTGCTCTTGAAGCACAGACCTCATTAAGATGTTGTTTTGGGAACGATGCCATCTCAATATGCCAACTGTTACTGAAGGTTCCCTAGTTATTGCTTCGAATTCATGTGGAGGTGTCAGGGCAGCAAGGCTTGAGTTACCACATATTGAGAACATTCCTGTTGGAATACATGTGGGCCAGGGTACAACCTACAGAAATTGTGCTAAATGATCATCTACGAAGACAGAAGAGAAAAGACTATGGCACTCAGAGGGGCACAAATTGTGCTGTTCTCCTTACGGCATACATGCAACCAGCCCAGCTCCCATTCTCCACCAGCTATGAAGGCCTTTGCTGATCTACCCAAAGAGTTAACATCTCCTGTACCTGGCTGATGCCTCTATTACATGGGACTGTTTCAGCTGTTTACACCAGACCTCACCAAAGAGGGGACCACAGCTTCCTTTTTACATCACAGGGGTTAGCAGTGTGTGCCTGGCAAGTATAAGGCAGTTCACAGATACTGAACTTCTGGGCTTAGGAGCTGATAGAGGGGATCTTATCACTAAAATGAGCAAGGAGAAATCTTACTCCTCCTTACTTGAAGCTAAAGCAAGTTCAGAATTTTCGAGTCACAGTTCCTGCCAGGAAACAAACAGAGAAAAATACTCATGAGGCCTAGACACTCCTGTAACCTAAAAAACATTCAATAGTTTACCAAAAAAAGAAAGAGGAAAAGAAATGAAACTTAACTAAAGTCTTTAGCCTGATAACCCAAAGGGAAACCTAGTGTTCATCTACTGTCTTAAATCTGTCTAGGTTTTTATTGAAAAGCCCCTATATCCAGGTTTTGGGTTTCCCTTTAACCATCTACCTTCAGCATTCTGTGTACCCTCTCTGCCAAGGGAAGAGCTGGAATTAGATGAACGGAGCATTTCTCAAGGTAATTTTAGGTGGACACTGGTGGCTAGCCTTTATGCTAACTTCATGTACTTATTTCAATGCACATTAGGAAAAGCTATAACTATCATATCAAACCAGATTTCAACAGATACATGAAGTTCCTGTTTAAAATACATTTAAGTTTAAAAGAAAAGAAAATGGATAAGGCAAAAACTGTTATTGTGGTGCCTGAATGACCAAAGTTTGGAAGATGCTGAAAATGCTGAGTGAAACAATGGGCATTAAAAGCTAAAGAGTTTACTAAAATGATCAACCGTGACTTCCCCCCTCTATCTAACACAAAACACCGCCAGTTCCCTTAAATCTTTAAGCAGTCCTTGGCCCAGTTCAGGAGTAGGGCACCGTCAAAATGGTTAAATCGTGAGCTCCCTTCAGAAGCTGCCTATGAGTAGTATACAGTTTACTCATAATTCAGTTCTCAGGATGGTTCTGAATGACACTTTTTAGCCTCATTTCCCCCAACAGCCTTTCTTTCCTCTTCTCTTCCATCAACTCTCTCTCCTAATTCAGTTTTCCTTCCTATTCTTTTGTCTCACTCGACACAGCTCAGAGAACAAAACATTCCTAACTTTAGATCTAATCAATGAATACAGTATAGCTGAGATAATTCAGACAGAAATATAATCATTTATCTGCTTGTATGCACCACATACACCTGCAGCAGTCCAATTGGCATTATGCTAAGGCCAAGTCAAATAACATAAAAAGGATTTAACAAACTGCCCGAATTCCAATTATCTTAAGTAGGTCCACACAGAGCAACAATGAGCCTAAAGTTAGTTTGCTTTAATTCTGGTTCCAACAATCCAGTGAAATACTATGACTGCTCACACAGAGCGATTTCGTGTGAAATGCTCTTCACATATTTGATAATAACTTGCAAAACAGTACTAAGAGTTACTCTTACAATATCTCGGCATAAATATCTTGAGACAGAAATAAACCTCAATCTCCTAAGGTGTAAACCAAAGTTCTCTCCTTTAGCCAAATTTTTAACATTCAATAACATTAAAAGTTTCCATTTTTGTCATCCTTACACAAAGAAAGCACAGAAAGCATACACCAAGAAGGAAAAGAACTGAAAACTATACCAGCACATTGGGTTTCAAAAATGAAGTGGGTTTCCAAAGAGTCTGGGGTGATTTATAAATGAAACACACAGTAGCACAAAAGTTCTTTCAATTCCTCTGGTTTCAGAAATATAGAAAGTATAAAGATGGAAGTAAGAAATCACCCTATAGAAAGTAAACCATGTTCCAAATTAAGATGGATTTAAAAACCCCTTAAATTATGTGCCAAGTCTAAGGAGCACGGCACTAATTAACATTGTGGGCGTGGAGCTGGGCAGACATGTGTTTAAGTTCCAGCTCTGTTGTCGACTAGTTTTGATCAACTGACTTCACTCTCAGAACTGCCA